ATTTTGTGGACAGTGACATGCCAAAAAATATTCAATGGGGAGGGGGATGTTATAAATATTATAATAATATACATTTTACTATAACTTTTTTCTAATAGCCAATAAATTGTTTTCTGTGTGTTGGTAAAAAAATACCATGGGGGGGGGGATATAACCCCACTGAGCACGCCACTGTTTGTAGATTTAATTTTTAGAAATAGTTGTTGCAGTGTTTTAAAATTTTTATTCAAGTATTGATAAAATTATATATTRTGATTAATCATACTATTTGAATAGTGTTGAGGAGTATCTTCTACTACGCTGCAGGTTGAACCAGGGTGTTCCACAACATAAGTTTTTCCTTTTTTTGAAGAATGAGAATTTGAGACTGATAACTCATCTGGCTTATTAGACCTATAAAACAATTCTCGCACTACAGCTTGTTTGTTGTCTGAAAAATATTTAAATAAATCATATTTAAAAAAATTAAATCTATAAATATATAATAAACACATTACTTTTGGCATTTATTTTTGAAAATGATGAACCTGCACATTGTTGTTTACTACCAAATGAATTAAAATTTGTTGGTGTATCTTTGGATGGTGACTTTTTTTAAATAGCGGCTCACTATTATCTAAATTAAACATATTATACAACAGTTTAATAAAATTACTATTTACTATAGTATAAATAAAAATGCAAGTAATAACAAAAGCATATTACATTCAATTTTTCTTTTTGAGGATAAAGGTTTGATGCAACTGAATTGTTTTTCACTAAATGGTTTCAAAGTTTCATTAGAAGAATTTTGTTTGGATGACCACGGCTGCTTCATTAAGTGAGGCTCTCTATTAATATCTATAATTTAAAAAAAAATTATACCATTATTTATTAGATGGGTGGTAAATTATATTAATGAATATGAACATGCTAATATTTAMACCTAGTGCAGTAATACATTCAGTATCAAATTATTATTGACGTTAAATTTTAATTATTCACCAAAATAATATTATACCTTCAGAATTGTTGGGTAGATTATCCAACTTTAATGGCGACCAGCAATTTTGCTTTTTTCTATTGTTCAATTTTATGGTTTTATCTGATGGAAGCGTGCTGATTACARGTGGTGAACATTTAGGTTCCTTATTATACATCAACATATTTTCAGATTCTATACCTATTTATAATACAATAGTTAAAAATAATACCAATAATTAATTATAACAAATACATTTATAAATAATTGATATTTTTCAAAGATGACAAAACAATAGTAAAATATTATAATATCGTGTCACCATTAATAACAGCTACAAGTACATTTAAGACTGTTGGCGACGAAGAACGATCACTTAAATGTTCAGAGTTAATCATAGCAGTTGTACTTAACTTAGATTTGTTATATGTAAAAAAATCATCATTATCAGAATCTAAATTAAAATCAAATGATTATATTAAAAGTATAAACCAGTTTATCATTAAATAGTATACATTATAATTGTTTAATTTAMATGGATTAAAATTAATTTAAATCAATCGTATTTAAAAGTAAGGTACAATTTATTGTGAATTTTTTACCTAAAAACAATGGGCAATAATTCGTAGATGACGTAGGAGTAAGCATAATTTCTTTTTGGTGGTTTCTACCAACACAAACTGTTTCTTCTGCAGATGATAAATCAGACATGATCATGGCTTTTTTAGTTTTATTTTTAGCTTYAACTAATGAATCTACAATAACAAAGTTTAATCCTTAAATAACAAATTTTATACAATTATTATCCACACTAATTTATACAAATACAAAAAATAATAAATACCTATACCTATTTAATATCAACCTAACATGAGAAATTATTAATTAATAGGAATATTATAAATTATAATATATATTTACCAATGCCTTTGTATAATTCTCTGCTTTTTAAATAAATATATTCAATTTCATTAGGCATACATTTTTTTTCAATAAGCCTTGAAGCTGTTTTATACTTTTTAGGCCAAGCACAAGTACCGTGTTTTTTGTCCACCCAATGTCCTGGGACCGTTTCAATCGTGTTGTCATCCAAAAAATGAACAATTGAGTATGGCATGTGAAATATAATAATAAAACAGATAGCACAACGACAAAACTACAAAAATTAGGAGTCCTAAAATATATATAACAATTTTTAATATAAATAATAAATGTATACTGGAACAGAACAAAGTATTATTAAAATAAATACATAAATAAAACTGTTTTTTTTTTTAAACGTATGTTTAATACCAAATGACTAATTATGAGTATCATATTACTATCATTATATATTTTTAAAGTTATATTAAATAATTTACTGTACAAATAACATTTAAATAATTTTTTTTTTATATATATAAACATATTAATTATAGAATGAATGTAGTATTGGTAATGCAATTTGTTTATTATTGTGAAAATTGAATACTACATATTTTTGAAACAAGTGATCTATAGTAATGGGTACAATATTTTCTGACAAATTCGAAACACATGCTACTCAAAGTTTTAAACTATTTATTGGTTTGTCATATAAAGGATCAATATTATTGAATAACTGAGCGACAAAAAAATGTATACCTGTTTCATGATCACAGCAAATATTTAAGACTTTTAAAATATGTAATTTCCCTTCTTTTGAAAAGCCAATAAAACAATCTGTAATTGTGTTAATTTTAATTTTAACATCATTAACAGAGACAATTTGGAACTGTGATGTAATATTACCCAATATCGGCCCATTATTATGAGGTTTCTTATACTCAATAGAATAAGGTGATAAATTAGATATAGTAGGYTTATTACTAAACTCAATAAATTACTTCAACGCTTAGTGACTTGTTCCAGAGGTTTTTGATGTTTACGGACCATTTTTTTTAGGGACTTCATATAGTTTTTAAAAGGAAAACAAGACGATTCATCTAAAGGACCAAATTTTTTGTAGTCATCAACAATATGAAGAAGCCCATGTACGTTGTGAGACATAAACTTCTGTCCATAAATTATACCAAATTTTTGAACAAAATACGACAATAATTTTTCTACAAATCCAACAAGTTCATCACTGCTATTTTTAACTAAAAGAATCCTAAAGCAAATATGTAAACACATGAAATGTAAATAGCATTTATTGTTCAGAATACCTTTTAAGACTATAGGACCAGTATAAAGAAGAAATAGTCTAAACTCATTGGCTTTCCATCTAGGAACTTCGTTTAACCCTCTGGGAAATCTCGAAAAATCAGAAGTCATGGAAGATTTTAGAAACAACATATTACTAGATATTTCTTGTGCTTTTCGGTATTGTAAACGAACAGAAATAGGTGATCCTTTTATATTTCCTAACCACAGCATAATTAATTTCTTAACTACCCCTAAGCAAGTTAGGTGCATATAATCTAAACTTAAACTATATACCATATCAATTTCTGGGAGCTCTGTCAAAATAGATACACTTACAGTCATATGATATTCTTCATGTGTACGATTGATGAAATCTAAATGAGTTTTTTTTAATGAATTCTCTATCTGAAAAACATACCCTATTATCTGAATAGATTCCTTCAACATTACACCTATTACACGAATAGAAACCATTGTGCCCTTTAGTTTTTAAAATGTAACTTTTTGCTGGGGCATCGCAGCAAAAAAGTTCAACCACTACTTTTWTAATACCATGGGGGGTTTTAAAACCTATATTATATACGAGTAGATCCTTAAATTCATCAACCATGTCTTTTAAAAATAAATTACTATCTTTTGCTTTTTCTTTACCCCAATATAAGCCAATTAAAAATATTTTAGATTTTCCAGGAAAGTTACGTACATATCCTAAAATAGGCCAAAAACTACTTTGAGAACTTTTTGTCAATGGTAAGCCATCTATACCAATAACAATTTTTAATTTTTCATCATGAAATTGAAACCCATCACCTAAACTTTTTAAACCAATTTTTGTACCAAAATGATAATATATACCTGATGTAATAACTTGGACTTGCTTAGTGTCAATATGTTTGTTGGTTTTAAGAATGATTCTTATCTTATCTGCATCATCAGGGGAAAAATTAAAACATTTATGGTTTTTCAAAGTTTTTAACAAAACAGAAAGTTCTACATTAGTTATGTTGTAAGAAACTGTCCATTGACATAACATTTTTAAAATAGGATCTCTATCATCAGTAAAAGATTCTGCAAAGATAGTTTCATCTCCATCGTTAGAATCAGAGTGTTTGAGTGATTCAGAAACACAAAATTTGGGTAAGTGTTATAATAATAGGCTATAATGTAGAATAGTTTGTACAGTTTGTACTTAAATGTTGTTGTTTTTTGATAGATCATAATATATCAAGTCCATATCATGTCATCAGTAAATCTCATTCTTATAAGTTAATTTGTAAGTGCTCGTTTTTTTCATAAAGCTTTTATCTATGAATTATTTGCTTATAAATTATGATTGAATTTTCGATTGTAATTATATGTAGTTGATACGCTTGAAAGTAGACCTTCCATTGATGCCAATATTGCACGCAGTAACAGAAAAGCACGAAGCTCTGGTTAATATTATATTATTGCTTAATTTGAACCCTAAAGCGCTGATCGTATTTTTATAACTTCACTGCTTACCATTTTGTTCATATCTGATTATTTTATTTTTATTTATATGTTAGGTATATTACATAAAATGGGACTAAATCGTGCAAATAAGCTAACACCGAAGTGTAAATCTCTGTATGCTAATGCTTTGCTTCTACAGAAACAATTACGACGCGAACATAAAAAATGTAATACTTTCAAGCAAAGACTTAAAGCTGCTAGAAATCATCTTAATTTTCAAACATCCCCACAAATGACTACAGCAGCAAAAATTTTTACGCAATTACAACTTCGTGAAACAAAAATGAAACCTAAAGGATGACGTTTCMCCCTCAATGAAAAATTAATGTCTTTATCATTGTATAAACAAAGCCCTAAATCATATAGACTGTTGGCAAAAATGTTTGTACTTCCATGTAGAAAGATTTTAAGTAATATGTTGGCATCAATACCTATCAACACTAGTGTAGACCCTACATTAATTAAAGTGCTTAAAGAAAATGTCAAAAATTTGAAACCTAAACATAGATTTTGCAGTATACTATTTGACGAAATAAGTCTTAATGCCAGTTTGCAGTACACCAGTAGCGAGGGGAAAATATATGGTTTTGAAGAAAATAGCTCAGGTCGTACTCAACAATTTGCTGATCACAGCCTTGTTTTTATGGTTCGAGGAATTGTTAAAAATTTTAAACAGCCTATATGTTACTCATTTTGCAAAAGTACAACAAACAGACATGATTTGGCACATCAAATACGTGAAGGTATCAAAGCTGTACAATCAACCGGCCTAAAAGTTATATCAACAGTTTGTGATCAAGGTGCAACTAACTCAGCGGCTATAGACATCTTAATCAATGATACAAAGGCATATTATTGGAAGAATAATAAAGAATTCAAAGGCGATTTCTATGAAGTGGAATACAATTTTAACAACAGAAATGAACGAATTAAAATTTATCATTTGTTTGATCCACCTCATCYGCTAAAAGGAATTCGGAATAATTTACTGACCAAAAATGTTTCATTTGATATGGATGGTGAAAAAATAGCTAGTTGGCGCGATATCATAAACCTTTATGAATTGGACAGTGGTATACCAGATGTGAAAATGCTTCCTAGATTAACAAAAGAACATGTTGTACCTAATGAAATCAGAAAAATGCGTGTAAGAAATGCTGCTCAAGTATTGAGTCAAAGAGTTTCATCCATTATGGCATTTCTGGCATGTAAGTAAAATGAAAACGTATTTATTTACCTATTACAAAATATTTATTTTATAAAATTATTTTTTAGCAAAAAATCTTATCGGAGAAACAGCTAGTGACACAGCTAAATTTTGTCTTTTGTTTGACAAATTGTTTGATTCCGTAAATGGTAACTTTGATAAAGTGGTTGATGGCAAAATTTATCGAACAGGAGTAAAAAGGAATTCTCCTCATCACCAACTGTGGGAAGATTCTTTAAAAATTTTAAGTACTATGCGGTTTTTAAATCCTTMTACTGGGAATCCTTCCACTCCACAGCCACCAACTTTGAAGAATTGGATTAAAACAATCAAAAGTAAACAGTTAAAATATTATTTCAAAGCAGCATTAATAACTAACTATTTTTTTTTAGGTTTCCAAAATATATTTCAATCGTTGAATGAAAARGGWATAAAGGTTTTGCTACTGAGRCATTTCAATSAAGATTCGTTGGAGAACTTTTTTGGTGCGTTGCGAGCTTTAGGGTATCGCAATAATAATCCCACATGTGAAATGTTTTCATCAGCTTATAAAACCTTGCTGTTGAATAACATGATGAMGACACATTCCCCTGGCAGCAACTGTGAGGATGATTTCTCGGAAGCCTGTTTGATTTCATATCAAACGTTGTTTGCCACATTCAATGACCAGCTGGAAACAGATGAACCAGGATTTGATACTCAACGCGTTGCTGATGGTTTACCCAATGAACTAAATTCAAACTYTAATTCCGACCYAACATTGTTAGAATCCCAGACTAAAAATTATATTGCAGGATACATTATAAAAAAACTAAATACCATATTCTTTAAAAACCGTAATTTATGCCTAAAGCAAATTTGTACTAATATCAATAAGAGCCATCAATTAATTCAAGCTAGAGATTATCAGCCTATTGGTAAGCATTTACTAAAATATCCTAATACTAGTTTTTGTTTGTTGGTCCAAAATACTATTAATATTATTTCACGTAATTTACCTTCAATATGCCATCATAAATATTTAAAATTAGGTTTAATTAATATTATTGAGAAAACAATAGATTTAAAATACATAACATGTCCTGAACATAAATCATTGTTTCCACAAAAGTTCATTGATTTTTTAGTAAAATTAATGGTACGTACATAATTGGTGCACTCAAATAAATAGAATCATATCAGGAAAATTATATTTAAATAAAAATGAATCTGATCAAATTAAAATAAATGCATTTGCRAGGTACAAACTGTTCTCTAAAAGAAAATTAAATTTTCAAAATAAATTATAAATACAATTTTATGTTCATGTATATTATATTATTTAGTATAAGTATTATATTTATTATTTTGTTAATTTTAATTTTAAAATATGTGATAATATTCCCATTAWCTAATTGTATTAACTAGTTTTTCAAAAGTTACATTTATTTGTATTGTATATTTAAAATCTATGTTAAATATATTTTTATTATTTGGATTGTATATGAATGTTAAGAAAGTATATTGTAATAAAATGAAATTTAATTTATTTTTGATGTTTTATTAATTTCAATTGAGTACTTAAAAAAATAATAAAATAACAGTGATTGAGGCGCCCGGTGATAATATTGTTGGCAATCTATACACAAGCGGCGGCCCACCGAGCTATGGGTTGGTRGTGAGGAGGGGTCGAAGTTTCATTCACCAGCTCCCGGGAGCGCTGTGTTCAATGTCCYGATTAATAACATTGCGGTTGCCTAATGCCTATCTATTAGTATACTTGTCTATGTTTACTAGGATGTAATGACATTATTAAAAAGTTATTAACCTAGAATCTATATAATAATATTAAGTATGAATTAAGACTTTCAATATACTAATAATAACTACTCATCATTAAAATGGAGAAGTATGATAAAATATTGATGTGCCTAATTAAGACAAGTAAGTAAGATTATATTACAGTACTACTACCCATTTATTCGTAGACTCAAATAATTTTGCTAACATGGGTACAACAGATTTATTGACAATTTCCACCTGGCGGTTGGCCCTAGGTGTTCCAGCAGCAACTTACAGATTCGTCCTTCAAAAATTGTTTAGATGTTGTGGACATAAAAGACGTACCGCGATCACTAATTATTCTCCGCGGTTTCGAATATGTTTGAAAATAATTACGAAGATGTTTTATTACTTCTTCCGTTTTTGTACTATGACAGCTAGGGATATAATTTAATGCATTTTGTGAATGCGTTTTTAAATTGGACGAAGTACAACTTTGAGATTCTACAATCTCAGGATTAACCACGTCTTTTGTACAGTCTATGGAGTTTTCTTCATTTTCATATTGACCTGATTCATCAACGACATCATTACCTGCATTCTCTTGAGTTGGTACTTCAAAATCTATGTTAGTCATTGTATCCCTCTCCTGAAAGAACTTAGAAAGCCTAACTGCAGTAAATATTTTTACTGCTTTATATTTTTTGCTTTTTGTCCACTATTATAGTTTTAGATTTCTTCGGAGATTTTCGAAAGTTATCTCTAATATTACCTCACCTTGTTTTAAAAGAAGGTCCTGTGACATAGACCAAAATATATACGAGTATGTTACAAAATACTTACAATAACGAAAAATGGGCATGATCAAAAAGATGATATTATATTAAATTGCTACGTTAAATAATTATGTTTACAAATCATGTATCAATTTTTTCTATTTATTGTTTTTATTTGATTAAAATATGGAATATAATATATTATATACTTAATTTATTTTATTTATTTCATTTTTATTAAACATTAGTCAAGTTGACAATGAATAGAAATAATCCCAGCGTTTTATAAAAAACTTAACTTGTATTTTTTACTAAACTGTAACAAATGTAACTTAAATATAATTATAAACATATATTTTATATCGGCACATCTAAATCAAATTATTTTACATATTAATTAACAACAGTTTATTTTCTCTACTATTGTTTTTTCTTAATATTAAGTAAGATGATTTTCTACAAAGAGCTCAAAAAATATTAATACCGAGGAGAAATAGGTGTAACTTGGATTGTTTTAAGACTATTTACATTTTTGAAAAAGAGTCCCGTTTTATATTAAATTAATTACTTTCAGGTATTTTGTCACTGGTGATTCGCTAAAGAGGATTTCGTTTAGCTATCGCATGAGGCATAGTACTGTTTACCAGATCGTACGAGAAACCTGTAAGATAATTTCTGAAAATCTTATGAACGAATTGATGCCTACCCCGACAGAAGAAATGTGGGAGAACATCGCTAATGAATTTTTTCGTATGTGGAATTTTCCTAACTGTATATGAGCTATGGATGGGAAACAGGTTACTATCCAGGCCCCTCCGAATACTGGATCTATTTTCATTAATTACAAAAAGACGTTCTCTWTTGTTTTGTTGGCTCTTGTAGACGCTCACTGTAACTTTATTGCTGTCCATGTAGGAGCATATGGCAAGAATAGTGATGGGGGAGTTTTTGCTAATTCAAGTTTAGGCAAAGCACTTCAACGTGGTTCATTGAATGTTCCAGAAAATTCTACCATACCTAACACAGATATTGAAGTGCGAAAGTGCCCTATGTTATTGTAGCTGACGAGGCATTTCCTCTAAAGAATTACTTAATGAGACCTTATCCAGGAGATAATTTGGATGATCGGAAGCGTAACTTCAATTACCATTTGAGCTGTGCCAGGAGGACATCATAAAACATATTCGGTATTTTGAGACAAAAGTTTAGACTTAACAATAGGCGGATTCAAGCGTGCCCAAAACACGTGGATTACAGAATTTCGGCTACTTGCTTACTACATAATTTTATAAACAAATACGATTCATGTACGTAAAACTACGTAAAATTACTAAAGATGCATTTCGTACAAGGGAAATATTCACTGAATACTTCAATTCTGAAGCTGGTTCTCTTACTTGGATATGAAATACTAGTATATAAGATAATTTTTATAGTGCCTATATGGTTACATACTACAATACTACATAGTATAAAATAATAAACAATCATAAAAATATGTAAAAAGTGACTACTTATTTTATAATTACAATAATGTAATATGATATTATATCGTCGTCGTAACAAATATAATATAATATACAACATATATTATGCGTTATAACCTCAATTCATCATTAAATTGTTATTCATAATGTAATTTACCTAATATTGTAATATTAAAATTAATAATWAAGTAAAATAATAATAACTAATTATTTTATTTCTTACCAGTTGTTTCCATTTCCTCTGATATTTTTGCCCACATGGTATTCTTGAACTCCGTATCCATATAATTTGGATGTGATAAATTATATAGTACAGAATATCTTCGCACTAACTCAATGAGTTTTTCGTCATTCATTTTTGTACTGCGATGAAAATGATGACCGTGAAATATGAAAAATATCGGACATAAGTTATCGAATGCGCACGGTGCGATTACGGCGACAACACTGCATCGTTACGGTCGTGCCGGACGCCCGGACGAGTGAGAACAACATGCTTATCTTTCTTTTAAGAATATTATTAAACTCACGGGGGAATTCCGGTACTGTCACGTCACTGATGTGTGTGAATAGACCTTTACTTGGTCTTAACACTCCTTCAGACCATGATAAAATAATTTTATCATGCTTCAGACAACAGCTTGTCTAAAATAACGTGCAACTTATTTTGTTCACCGTATGATAGGCGTCTAGGGCGAAAAGAAATGGGTTGTTCATGCTTTAAAATAATTTTCATGTCAAAATCTACATTACTGTCGCGCGATTCTACGTTTTCTTTTAACATAATATGATATTCGTCGTTATACAATTCAATAAACTTATTTCCATGTCCAAATCCCAATTTATGTTCAACAAACAATTATAACGGTCGTTTTCGTCTTGACTGTAATTATGTGTAGGCAATATAAATTTAATATCATTTAAATAGGTGACGGTAAAAATTTTAAAAATACAAACTTTAAAAACTCAAATCTGTAAATTTGTTTACTAGTGTATATTTTTACCTGTTCTCGTAAAAATTGTGCCTTTTCCCATGTAATTTTATATGGTGTCGTTGCCAGCTTCGTAATTTTATGTAAGTATCTGTCTGCATACCCAGAATAGTGTCAAYAAGAATAAAAATATTTGGATGTCCTGAACGAAAAAATACATTTACTTTTGAATGAAAACTTTCACAGCTGTTAGTAGTCCGATTAGTGCTTGCTAAAAAATCACTCCAAATTTTTGGGAGAAACTGTGCAACGTCGTCGTAAACGTAATTATTTAAAATATAATCTGTAAACCTATCAATTTTTCGTCATTACATGGTTTCATTGCCATTAAATCTTCCACGAAACATTCGACTACCTCATTTTCGTTTAAAAATGGTGAACCGAAAAAATACTTAAGATATCTACCATTATCAGAATCAGACTTGTATTCCTTAGACAAAACCAAATTTTGAATTGTTACCCAGAAGACTTCTTGAATTTCCATCAATGTATTGATTATATTATGGCACCATCCAATTATGGATGGCTTGTATAAAACTAACTATTAAAGTMTCGATGAAATGCTCCGGGCCAATTTGTTTTCCTAGGATCAGATATGGCGGAAAACAACTATTTTCCTCAACGTAAGTCTCTAGWATATAATMAGTATAGTCGATAACTGCAAGTACATGTATTACGTATAAATTCGTAGTCGCATATATTACGAAAATAATCGAAATAATGTAAGTAATTKATATTAATTGGTTTGGAGATAAAGTATATTAGTATACCACTATTGTAGATCACGTGTTTATAAAGTGTACCCAAACGTGTCTTGTATAGTATGTATATCATGTACCCAAACGTTCTCTGATTTAAC